ATGCCTTCCCAAAAGCAGCAATCCTTCCCTTGGGATTTCCAGAAATTGGCTTTAGGATAAGCAAATGGATCATCAAAAGAAGCATGCTTATCAACGACAAAGCTTTCCTTGAATTGTAACAACGCAAGGCGCTCATCTCTCCGACACAATGAATTTTGGAAACATGGTTGAAAGAAAAAAACTAGAAAGACAGTAAAAAACAAGAAGTAAGCAGAAGAAGACACCATAATTTGTTCTTGTGTTTAGATTTTTGTACTCTTAGAGATGCAGGAAGATCATGCATGGTGAAGGGCTTATATAAATGACATAATGTTGAAATGGAAAAGTAAAGAATTTTAGTTGATGTATCTCACTCTCTTTTTTTCTACTTTTTGCGGTGAAAAAAGGTCCAATTATATATACATCTCTTATGTACATAAGCTATGGCCCATCAGTGGCCTATTTTTCTGTACACCACCAAGAATTTAGCTCTAATTTGAATCCACTTTCTATATTGACTAGCAAGTTAAGCGACTCAAGCCAAACTCATCTACATCTAAGAAATTAGAAGGAAATTAAAGAACGTTTAATATGGCCAGCCAGTATGAAACTGAAATTAATTGACTTAACTTAAAGGCCTCTACATCAAAGAAGTTATGATATATCAACTCCACTTGGGAAGACTTATTCATGGCCTAAGATGTACATTCCTTAGCTTCTCTTACTCTTAGGTAGTGTTTGATGTAGTGATTGTATATAAACATTGTCTTACCCTCCATTCATTTTCAGCAATCTTATTTTGATTTTTTGACTTCTTGACTGTTCATATATGAATTTTAAATAAAAAATCAATAGTTTATATAAACAACAATTCAAATGTTTTTTTTTTCCTATATGAAGTTCTTGTCAAGTACTTTTATTTGATAAAAAAATTTAATTCTTATTTATATAATATGTTAAATTTTTATCTAAAATTCATGTCTAAAAAACCAAAAAATCAAATTAAATTTACTAAAAATAAATTGAGATTGTAATTAATATCACAGCTCAATCTCATGAAGAGAAAAAAACAAGGGTTTTTATTTTTTTGGCCTAAGAAAAGGTTTTTTAATCAAAATGTTTGTGAATGAATTTGATAAATAATTTTAATGTGTAGAGTCTCATTCTGATTTTTTTTTTTTTTGAAAAGTATGAAAAGTACGGGGATAGGATACACCACAACTCCAAAACCGATTAATTTGCAGTTGCGTGGAATTTCATATATACCACTTAACTGACACACGTAAGGATGATGTGGAACAAACACCACACAATAAGGGGGAAAGGACCCCCACTTAAGAGGGTTAATTTTTTTTACAGTATGAAAGGTACAGAAACATAAAACACTACAACTCCAAAATATGATTTCTTTCTATATTCCAAGATATTTCTAATCTACCTATACGATGATTTAGTTTAACAAATAGGATCATCATAAGAAGCATGCTTATCAATGACAAAGCTTTCCTTGAATTGTAACAAGCCAAGGCGCTCATCTCTCCGACACAATGAATGTTTGGAAACATGGTTGAAAGAAAAAAACTAGCAAGACAATGGAAAACAAGAAGTGAGCAAAAGAGGACACCATATAATTTGTTCTTGTGTTTAGATTTTTTGACTCTTGGAGATGCAAGAAGATCATGCATGGTGAAGGGCTTATATAAATGACATTATGTTGAAATGGAAAAGTAAAGAATTTTAGTTGATGTATCTCACTCT